CCCCAGGATGAGAATGGCGCCCTAACAGATTGTTGCTGGAGCCAACCTTTCCTAGTTACTTCAAGGTGGTGCCCAGGAGCGACCCCAGAATGGGTCTTACCTGCACCTTACATCTGAAGGTGCAAAGGAGCAACTAGATCTACACTGTCTGAAGTCATGTTCTTGAGACTTATCCCTTTAAATAAAAATATTGTGAATGTTGCATTATGGGAATAACTATCTTCCCTTTGTGTTGGGGAGAGTGGAGAGAGAATCTTTATGCCACCACTTAGCTGGCTGGAGCAGATGAGAGTCCTCCAGCCTGAGGCGGTTTTCCTCAGTGCATGAGAATGCCAAGATTTAACTTCTGCATTTCCCCTTACAACCTGCAAACATTTTTCTCCCTCCGACCTATGCAGAAATTACACAATAAATAGATGAATGGTTTAAACAGAAGGATTACACACAGGGGGCAGAGCATGGCCTTCAGATAAATGCCTTGCTTGCTCATTTTCCAGATCTGGAGTCTTAAGAACATAACAATGGCCATACTGGGTCAGATCAAAGGTCCATCTAGGACGCTAATTATCTTACCCATTACAAAGATAGAGGAGATAATTGGGGAAGCTAATATCATTAGCTCACAGACATTTACCTCCCCCTCCATCCCCCTTCTATTCTGAAATTTGATTTGTCCTTTTCATATGTGTTCATTTTTTTAATTGTATCCTTTGGTATATATGATTGTGACAATTTTCTTCCACTATTTGATCTGAGGAAGTGGGTCTGGCCCACGAAAGCTCATCACCTAATAAACCATCTTGTTAGTCTTTAACGTGCTACATAGTCCTGTTTTTTGTTTCATTTAAAGAACAGTGATCCAAAAAAATTAAAAAGTAATACAGATTGGACCTCTCTGGTCCAGCACCCTCAGGACTTGACTGGTCCCGGATGAGAGATTTTTCACACCCCTAAATGACACTCAGCCAAAAGTGGAATAGGAATAATAAAGGAGAGACTGAAACAAGGGCAGGTTGGTGTGAGGGAATATAGGGTGTAAGAAAATACTGCAGATAATTTTGGGATTCTCAAATGCAGAATTGGATAGGTTTTACACAGATCTTTGATCCTGCTTCTGGTAGCCTTGCTGCAGGTTGTTAGGAGAGCTTGACTCCTGGTATCTGTTCCCAGCTCTGATATTGACTCACTATGTGATTGCCTCCACATTACTTATCAGTAAGCCTCAAATCTCTCAGCGGGGCTCTGAGAGACTATTAGGATATAAATTATTTAAGAAAGGGATAGCGTGTTCAGCAGCAAACTCAAAAAGTGCAGTGGGGTTCAGAACAATTCTTTCAAGACAGTCACACCATGCCCCTTTTTTTCTTTCCCAGATGCTGAGGGGTTGGTTGGCTGGCTTCTCATTAGTCATTTGTCCTGACAGTGGAATCCCAAACTTTCATAATAATCTGTGACTAGGAGGTTAATCCGCTGTATGGTAAAGTTTCCTAGTGAGTGTGCATGGATGGTCAAGAGAGAGAGAGGAGGGGAATTCTACACAGTTCTGAACTTCTAAACAAACTAATAGTTTTAAGAATATTAAGAATTTAAGACTCTTTAATTAAGACTATGCTGCCAGAAGGCATAGGGTAACAGTTTTTAAAGTACTACGGTAAACATCAGTAGGAAAAGGTTTAACTAACATGCTTATTTTGGCTTTTACACAGCACAGAAGACTAGCCAGTTCTCTTGCATCAGAACAAAGGGACAAGCAGTCAGCATAAACACCCTTTTCACTTTCAAATGAGAGAAGAACTAAAAGAACTACCTGTCTAGAGAACCATTAATTACCTAAGGAAAAAAAAATCCTCCAAACCACAGCTTGTAGTGTGTTACCAGTATGGAGACCAGATAGGCAAAACAGTTTCATTACACATCCCTCATCTCTCATGAACCTAACCCATGGATTTCTGCATCTAGAGTAAAATTGATTCTGATTCTCCAGCCAGCACTAGCTCTCATTTCCTTCTCGCTCCCCAACATGCTACTGCCTCTGTATCAGAAGCAGCAGGTGGGAGGAGACGGTGCTCGCAGGGAAACATCTTTCTGTGTATACTGGCTCCCACTTGTCCCCCTCCCATGCGCTGCTGCCTCTGCATCAGAGGCAGTATCAGAGGCAGCAGCTCAGGAGAGGGGAAAGGCAGGCATGCCACAGGAGCCTGCTCCCCATGAGCACTGGCTCACCTCCCTACCCCACTGCCTCTGTATTAGAGGCAGCAGGTAAAGAGGTGCATGTAACCCCAAAGGTTAACAGATGAGCCCATGTCCACATCCCTACTGTAAGGGAACATGGCTTTGGGGAGCACTGCCTCAGGGACAGTGCAGAACAGATATTTTTCACCCGGGTTAAAAAACGCTGAACACATTTTTCAAGCCTATCTACACAAATAACTTATTCAACCTTTTAAGTGCTAACCACAGACAGCCTGGTGGGTTTCATATGGAAAAACAGAAACATCAGCAGTGGCACCTCCCTCCCACCCATGTACTGTAACAGTTGTGAATGCAGGTAGGAAATACTCCAATTTCCCCATGGGGTCCAGGAGAATGACCACATATCCACTGTTCATTCAGAAACCTCCATGTCAGAACTGATAGCCTTCCAGGAAAAGAGGCCTGGATAGGTATCCCTCTGGGACCCTTCAATCAAGCGCTAGCTGGAATCAGACCACATTGGTCTGTGATCTTGTCACTCGCTAATATAACTGCAGCTGATGAATAGGGATGTGATCGTGTAAATGGTTACATGTGGTCTCCTTCCCCCTGACGCTGCTTCTGTATCAGAGGCAGCAGTGTGTGCATGGTGGTGGTGGGGGGAGAGGCAGGAAGCCTGTACATGCACGGAGCTAGCTTTTAAGCCAGCATCAAGAGGCATAAGGGAGTGGTTGACAAAGGCTTCCCCTGTCGACAAAGGCTTCTTAAATAAGAAATAAGGTGCAGATTTTTTTAACAGTGAGGTGATTAACCAGTGGAACAAAGCAGAAAAGGAAAGGGGATTCTCCATTTCTTGAAATCTTCAATCAAACCTGGATCTCTTTCTGAAAGAACTGGCCTTAATACAGGAGTAACTGAGTGAAGTTATGGCTTGTGGTACACAGGAGGTTTGACTAGACAATCTAATGGTCCAGTGTCCTTAAAAAAGCTATATTCATCTTATCAGTTGAGGCATCTTCTTTATGTAACACTGAGGTGGTGCAGGAAGTGCTGCTAGTAATCAGTAGTTAACACTCTTCTCTTTCATTTTTGGTATTAAACAAATGCCCCAGCATGGTATTACAAACCACTAAACTGCTAGAGGTATATTTTCTGCAAGAGTAGAGATATGCAAGACCATAACTACAAATGAAAACGTAAATGTGAATTGTTGACAGAAGTCAGTTGTTTATGAATAGAAATAGAAATAGAAAGCTGGAGTCCATTTGAATGAACAAATACACAGTTTATTTGTGTAAATCCAATAACTGCGCAGGCAAATCAAGCACATGGCTATTTTTAAAAATGTTGTAATTAAACAGTTTCCTGTTTTCACACAAGAACATTTCAAACAATATTGGTTCAGTTATAATATTGATTTCCTGAGTTCCACACAGACTGTGTTCTCCCAGCACCTGAAAGATGTCTGTACAGGGCAGAATACCACAAAATACATCATGAATATTAACACTGGTTAATATTATTCCTGCTTCTGGAAATTTCCACTACATGCATCTGACGAAGTGGGTCTTTGCCCACGAAAGCTTATGCTCCTACACTTCAGTTAGTCTATAAGGTGCCACAGGACTCCTCGTCGCTTTTGCAGATTCAGACTAACACGGCTACCCCTCTGATACTTAACACTGGTGCTGTTACTTAAATGGCAAAAAGTTATGAAATTTGAAATTTATATTGAAACATGGTCATGTATTTTAGAGAGACTAAACCTATGTTTCCAAAAGCAAAAAAAAAAAAAAAAAAAGGTAGTAAACACTTGGCATACAGAGAGAGCGGGTACACACTGGTTAGCCAGGGATCTTGAAATGCCTTACAAATATGTTAATTAGGTGAATATGACTGTACCATTTTACAGATGAGTACATGACTGCTAATCATATACATTAAGAAAAGAAATTAGAAACTGCAATCACATTACAGAAGGCTTATTATTACTGTTATTATGATTCAGTATTGTAAAGCACCAACAACATGCTCAGTGTTGTAGAAGACACAAATACAAAGAGTGTACAGGCTAAAGGATAGTCAGAAGAGACAAAGGCTGCTGGAGTAAATCATACCCTGAAGGATTCTGGAGCATTAGCTGTTATAAATTTTCCTTGCTAACCAGTGTTAAAATGACTAATGTGTTCAGTGGTCAACATTCATATTTTCCAAACATGTTGCTCAATCCAAACACTTCTAAACAACTCAAAGGAAGGCTTACCCTGGACTGGGAAGCTTTCTGTGTGACCTTGTACCATGTCCATAGGGCCCATACTGTCACCCTTACAGTGAGTAATATCTTACAACTGCAAGGAGTCCCACTGATTTTAGCAAAACTTTTCGTGGTACAAGATTTGAGTATCATTGGCAGGATGAGGCTCACCCTCCCTGTGATTCAGTTCCCTAGCTGTACGTTGGGTATACTTACCTCACAAGGGCTTTGGGAAAATGTATTAAAATGTACTAGGGGCTCAGATTCTCGGGTGAGTGTCTGGAACTCGAGGAGTACTTGTATAAACAGATCCGACCCCATACCCAGTACAACCCAAGGCAGCTCTATAGACTTACCGCCCGCTATCTATTTTCCGCGCTCCCACGGGAAATGCAGCCACGGTGGGTGCTGCCAGCGCTGGACTGAACGTAGGAAGTGAGCTGGATGGGGTAAAGTCCGCGCTGTTGGTGACTCAGCGTCCCCCTGGCTCAGGGGGAGCAGAGACAGGCTGGGGTCCGAACGCCCACGATCTGGGGCTGCTGCCCTGCACTCCTACCTTCCCCAGCCGGCCCCTGCCTCTCCACGCGTCCCGGCGCAGGACAGCGATGCCAGCGCTGCTGCGCTCCGGCTGCCCGCAGTCCGCGCCGCCCTGCTCTGGAACGCACCGCAACATTCCACTCCGGACCTCCCACTCCCGGCCCCTCTACACGCGCTCACGGGAGGAGGGGAAAGCGCTCAGCCTATGAGCGAGCGCAGCCGGAACAGGACCGTCCGGTTCTGGAACGCTCAGACTCAGCATTCCGCTCTAACCACGCCCCTCTGGAGCATCTCGACCAATCGCAAAGCCAGAGTGAGAGCACGGCCAAAGGGCTGAATGGGGGGGAGGGGGGAGAATCAAAGTTTAAAGGGTATGAGGGGGTGCAGAAGGGCCGTAGGGTCCCGAGCTGGGGAGAAGTTCAGATCCCCCTCGAAGATGGGGTTCCGCTGCCGGGACGGGGGAGGAGAAGAGACTTGGGCTAGCCGGGTGGGGCTGAGGAAAACATCCGGCGGCTGGCCGTGAGGGAGGGCAGCCGCTGTGGGTAGGGGCGGCAGGAGGAGTCACAGAAGGTAGCCGACCGGGTAGCAAGGAGGCCACCTAGCTGCGCCGAAAAGGGAAGCGGGACACCCGGCGGTCCCCAGCGAGTAGAAATGCACAGGTTGTGGGAAAGTTGTCAGTGCAGATCCTGGCTGGAGCGCACAGGGTGCATGAGAAATGGGGCAGACTGAATTGGTGAGGTTTAGAGTGGGTGAGAAATGGTTCAGTACGTGAAGGAGAAGATCTGGAACTTCGTAAGTGCCAAAGGCTTGCAGAAATTTGCATTCAATAAAAATAAATGTCTCATCTCTTTTCCGGTTTGTATTCACCCTGAAAAATGGAATCCTGACCCCACAGTCAACGGGAATTTTGCTTTATGGCAAGATTAAGAATTTCATCCTTCTTCTTTCTCCTTGTTTCAATTATTCCCCTTGCTACAGTCTGACCAGATCTCTTCTCCAACACACCACTAGCTTCTCCTGCTTACATTCCGGGGACACAGATAGTGTTCCCTGTAAGATGAGCACTTGGGCAGCCACCCAGGAGAGATTCCTTGTAATCTGATCACCCACAGCTGGCAGCATGTGTTTCTACTGCACATCCACACATCTCTGATGGCACATAACAAAATTTACTCTGCACATGGGGGAAAATTAGAGGGAACTTGCCCTACACTCTCCCAATGGTGTTGTAACCCTTCCTCCCAAACCCTCCAAATGGTCTAGTTATATGCAGTGTTGAAAACTTAGTTATTGGTTGGAAATTTGAATTGATATTGAAACATTAATACACACTGTAAAAGCATATACAGTGTATGATAAACTAATTCTACCCAAAAGAGTGTAAGAGGTTTGGGAAGTATGAACAAAAACTAGCTCTCTCACACCCCTAATGTTTTTTTTCTGACAATGTTGGCACATTCATTCAGGAATGTTGGCCAACCTTATCATTTCAAATGATGATTTGTAAGCAGGGTCTGAATGATTTCCCCCCTGACAGGTAGTGATGAGCTAGGGGAGAGGGGAAGGCTTCTGGAGCAGACTTTATTTACATGAACACTCTTGCTCTGCCTACATATACAATAGGCAGAGCTCTGCTGCCCACATGATCAGTTGTGGCTGGTGTTGTGTTACAAATAATTTTAGTATTGAATGTAGGGATCATTAAATGTTATCTTTATTGTTTGAGCAGAGGGCAGCTAAACTGTTCTTAGCTTGTCCTGATTGAAGGGCTCACCCTCAATGCTTGATCTTTGCCAGGGCTCAGCCCTGGCACCTTTAGGTTTGGCAGTTCATAGCCCCAGGATCTATGGGCTTGCCACATCAGTTATGAATGTAAAAAATATATTTGAACTCTGGCAACTGAACTGTACTTGCTAAACTAAGCAAGAGGAGGCTGGATGGCAGATCCGGGAAGCGAGGAGAAAAGACGGGATTTTCTTGGTGGTATAGGCTGTGACTAAAAGTCACAGCCACTATTTGACTCACCCCTTTCTTCACATGGAAACTTTTCCATACCCCTAATCATTTTAGTTGCCCATCTCTGTACCTTTTCCTCTCCGATACATCTTTTTTGAGATGGGGTGACCATGAGCATACCATGGATTTATATAATAAAAGTGGAAGAGCTTAGTTTGGCAAACGGGTCAGCAAAGCCAATGCTGACAAACGATGTGAAAAGGCTACAAAACACCAATCTTCTGGACTGCACTGACATGCAGAAAACCTTGTAAGCTAGTCATTGTCACGGCCAATTTTAGAAGTCCTTAATGAGGCAGTTAAAATGCTGGAGACACAGTTTATTCACATCATATTGTCTCTTTAATAGCTACCACGTACTACAAACTAGAGGCCAATGTGAAGTGCCTTGTCCTATGTTAATCCTGAAGTTGGACACTGGTTTTGGCTGAGACCAGTAAATACTCACTATCATTCTGCAGGGAAGTCTGACGGATTTATTAGTAGTGTGTAGAGGAACAGCAAAAGACTCTGCAGTTGTAAAAGTGAAGAATTCCCTCACCACATTCAGAAAATGTGAATACATGGCTGATGAAAGAACCAGAGCAAATAGGTGTCGAGTATTAAGTCACTGTGTACGTTATCTTGATGATAGTGGTAGGCCAGTGGATGAATTTCTAGATATTCAGAGTATAGAGAACACACCAGCTGACAACCCATGGCTTAGAAAAAGTAAATGCTTGTAAACAGAACAGTTGAGTGAAGTGAGGCACTACCTGTAATGAGGCTGCCATGTGATCAGGACAGACTAGAGAATTTGAACACAGAGTGGAGTATAATATGACCAATAAATGAAGGTTTGCCTTCAGCTTCTTTATCATCACTAGTACTTAAACCAGGGGAGCTGACAACCTCCACAGGTCCCTAGGGATGACAGAGGGGTTCACTCCACATTCCTGGAAGGGGTGGGGCCAGGTTCAGCCAGCCCACCACACCTCCTGGAGCACGGAAAACCCCTCCCTCCCAAAGCCATCACAGTTGTCCAGTCATGCAATGTAGCACTCTGGCAGTGATTTAAAGGGCCCAGGGTGGCAGCAGAAGCCAAGAGCTGCAGGATCCTTTGAATCACTGGGCCCTGGAGTAATTGCCCTTTTTGCCTCCCTGTCAGTGGGCCTGGGTCAAACCCAGGTTTTGTGCTCTGTTTCCTGGAATGAAAGAAGCAGGCACTAATGTCTTTTTAGTCTCGGCCACAACAGCTACAGACAGTTGAGCATTCTTTTTCTTCATTCAATAGAATTTTGTATTCTGAAAGAAATTGCCTTCTGTGTAATCACGATCATATCATGAAGGTCTGGTAGTACCGGAGAAGCCACCAAAAATGAATGCACTACATTGAGGAACTCATTGACAGAGCTGTGCCGAATTACAACAAGAAGCCAAGAAGGTGGTAGACATAGTGCTCCAGAGTGGGCTTGTGTAGCCAACTTGAATTTCTCTGCCAATATAAAATCATGAGTTAAATCTAATTAAATGGTTGTGAAACATTTTTCAGTTTTTACTATGGTGCCATACAGCTCACCTTTGCCTTAACAGTCTTATCCCTGGTCCTCACTCTCCTCTCCCCAACGTATTTGTGAACATCCCCTATTTTAATTTCTGGGGAAAACACTGGATAGATGGGAGTTCAGTGTTGTTCAGAAAGCCACTCTTCAGGGATGTAAAATCCCAGTTAATCGGTTAACCATTAAAACTTTAAGTTTAACCAGTTAAGTAGGATCTCAATCTCCCCCTCTCCCCCAGGGCTGCCACTGTTCCTCCCCTCCCTCCCCCCATGCAGGGGTGTATGTGGCAGCAGGAGCTAGCAGCCACGTGGGGAGGGGTGGGGCATGGCTTCTGCTCCTTGTTTCCCCCAACATGTAGGATGGTACTCTGGGGCAGCTCCTGAGTCCTGCTGGGCTGGAGCAGCCCTCCTCCCATGGTGGGCCATGGGTAAGAGACTGCTCCCAGGTACCAGTTAACCAGTTACCTGGTCATATCTCTATTCCTCATGAGAAAGTTTTCAGACATGCTCCTCTGAATGGAGCTTGTGGTTTTGGATACAGCAAGTTCTTAACAGCCAGGGTTGAGTGACACTGAGATGGTAGGAGTCAACCTTTGCCAGATTCTCCAGGGCAGGAGAACTCCTAGGTCTGTCCCTGAGAACAGGGTGCATCTGGGGAGCACTATAAAAGTGGAATCTCTGGGCAGTGTCTTTGGGTACATCTACACAGCAGAGGAAGGTTGAAGCTGCCGCTGTCGAGTTTCCAGGGTTCGAATTAGCGGTTGATTTAAGACTTCATGAGGAGTAAGGGAAGTTGAAGGAAGAGCATTCTTCTTTTGGCTTCCTACTGTGTAGACAGCGCCAAAAGCTGAGTTAAGCTATTTTGACTTCAGATATGCTGAAGTTGTGTATCTTGTTTCAACTTTGTCCTGCAGTGTAGACATGCCCTTTGTGAGCAACACTACCACATGGCAACTTGCTTCACTGCAGGACTATCCCATATGATTCCCTCATAAACCATAAAACAATCAAAACTGGAGAAGTGCAGGTTTTAGGAATTTTACAAATAGAAAACTTGCTCTGTTTTTGCCTCTGCATTGGGGGTCACTACTCAATTCGCATATATTAGGGTGTCTCATTGATGAGAAGTCCAGACTGCAAACAAAACACATTATAATGCACAAAAATAGGTTTTCAAGAATGGATTCATAATGAAGCATTGCATTAATCAATGGTACATTGGTCTGTAATCAATAGGGACAGCCACTTAGTTTAAATGTGATCAGGAGCAGATTTCAAGCAATGCATGTAACAGCTTTAAGAGCTAATTTACTGGGGCACTTCGAAGACCTCTTGCAAGATAACTTAAGTGCATTGTGTATTCCTGAGATGGAACTGAAGTTTTTAAAGTGCTTTACATAAGATAGGTTGTGAAACTGTTACTGTTTTTAAAATGTTGAGACGCATGAGTTATTTTGTATAATGCAGCTTTGATTGTTAATATTTTCACATACATGCACTGAAAGTGCTTATGAAAGCAGTGTTTTTAAATTACTGCAAGTTTTCTTGTATGCAGCTTTGATGTGGCTGTGTTGATCACAGGATATTAGAGAGATGAGGTAGGTGAAGTCATATCTTCTATCGGACCAACTTCTGTTAGTGAGAGAGACACGTGTGCTTACACATAAAACCCTCTTCCCCCCAAATTAAA